TGCTGAGGCTCTGCCCCTTCTCTGCCCCATCAGCCCCGGGGAGGTGGAGTAGCATGCCATTCACACGGCCCCACTCCTACGATGGGGAAGGGAGGGCAGCAGGCAGACACGTGCTTGCCTCAGCCTCACCAGCCCTGGGGCACTGCGGAAGAAGGAGGGTACACTGTGGCCCCAGCCTCCACAACTCAGGAGCACCAGGGAAGGAAGGAGGGCGTGCCCGTTGGCCCAGCCTCTCCAGCCCCAGAGCACCAGAGTGAGGGAGAAGGGCATGCAACGCAGCCCCAGCCACAGAGCACTGGGAGGGCAGGCGCTCGGGGCAGCAACACTCCACCTCCAGAACATCTTCAGCAGGCATTCTGGGGGTGCAGTGTGGGTAGGGCCATGCCTGGCAGTTTGGGAAAACAAAGCCTTCCCCTGCCTAGGCTACCAGACACCCATGATGCTTAAAAATGATTAGAGGGCTGGAGCAGCTGACTTATGAGGAGAGGCTCGGGGATTTGGGTTTATTTAGTCTACAGAAGAGAAGAGTGAGGGGGCATTTGAGAGTAGCCTTCTGCTACCTGAAGGGAGGTTCCAAAGAGGATGGAGAGAGGTTGTTCTCAGTAGTGACGGATGACAGAACAAGGAGCAATGGTCTCAAGTTGCAGTTGGGGAGGTCTAGATTGGATATTAGGAAAACCTATTTTACTAGGAGGGTGGTGGAGGGATTACCTAGGGAGGTGGTAGAATCTCTATCCTGAGAGGTTTTTAAGTCCCAGCTTAACAAATATCTGGATGGGATGATTTAGCTGGAGTTGGTCCTGCGTGGGGCAGGAGTTGGACTCAATGACCTATTGAGATCTCTTCCAGCGCTATGATTTTATGATTAAAACACTTCCAAAATTTTGTTCAAATAGTGCAGCAACCCCGAGATGGCAGAACACTCTGGCTGTGTCTAGACTGGCAAGTTTTTCCGCAAAAGCGGCTGCTTTTGTGAAAAACTTGCCAGCTGTCTACACTGGCCGCTTTGAATTTGCGCAAGAACACTGATGATCTAATGTAAGATTGTCAGAGTTCTTCCGCAAATACAGTGACTCTCCCGTTCAGGAAAAAGCCCTCTAATGCAAATGCTTTTGAGCAAGAGGGCCAGTGTAGACAGCTGAGAACCGTTTTGCGCAAAAAAGCCCCAATTGCGAAAATGGTGATCGGGGCTTTCTTGCACAAAACCACGTCTAGACTGGCACAGACGCTTTTCCGCAAAAAGTGCTTTTGCGCAAAAGCGTCCGTGCCAATCTAGACACTCTTTTCCACAAATGCTTTTAACGGAAAAACTTTTCCGTTAAAAGCATTTGCAGAAAATCATGCCAGTCTAGACGTAGCCTCAATGAATTTCAATGGGGATTCTGGCGCAGCAAGTAGTACTACAGCAGGCTGTGAATCGTTACTTTGCTCATATAATGCTTGGTCTAAAAGCACTTTCCAGATACTCATATACAAGCATATCAGAGAAGTCTGACTAAACTACAGCATATTTGTTTTCTGAGGCTATTAATGGGGACTTAAAAAAATCTAAATGGCTAGTCCTCAGTTGTAAAATCATTCTCTTTAGAGCTGTGTCTTTAAGATAAAGAATACTTGTTTCTTTTCTAAGACTGACAGACATTAAAATCAAGTTATGTGAGAAATTTACAGAACTGTTAATTCTCCAACTACTAATTCATTATTAATATTCTTGGTGCCACTGAATGAAATTTATACATGACTTTCAGGGCCCCATCTCATAAAAGCATGACTTTTAGGAATACAAGATCAGTTCCGCCCACCATTAAGCTGAGGAAGTACAATTCAAGGATTAGAATCCTAATAATTGACAAGCAAACAGACTTATCAAGAGAGAATGTATACAGGCAGTCCCCGACTTACGCGGATCCGACTTATGTCGGATCCGCACTTACGAACGGGGCTTTCTCGCCCCGGAGGTCGGGGCGAGAAAGCCCCGTTCGTAAGCTGCTCCGGTGCCCCTGGTCTGCTGGAGACCGTCTCCAGCCGACCAGGGGGACCCGGC